TACAGACCACATATAAATCCCCCAAAAATCATTATAAAACGCCTTTGTTTTGGTCAGCCTATTTTTTCCGGGTTTTTTTTTTTTAAACAAAAGGATATCTATTGACGCTGTTTTAGTAAATACGCCAAAAAGAAAGCACAGTTAAAAGAATTATTCTGCTGTGCTGTTCCTTTTTCTTTGTTCTTTTGCTTAATGTTGCTTTTGCTTTAGTTTTTATTCTAAAATGATTTATTTCAGCCTCTTCCACAGAACTGAATACAGGAAAGGACCGGCAGATGTATCAGTAGCAGGTTTATGTAAGAAAGGTTAATATGCCATATATTCATTGGATTTAGTTCTCCCCCACCCACCCCAAAAAAATCTGGTCCCAAAGTATAAAATGGAATGAAATTATTGATCCTGCGTTTCTCAAGCGCAGAGATAAAATACCTGGATTCCTACATCCCGCTATGATGGTTTATAAATACACGAGCTTCATATGATATGGCAGATCAAAAACAAACATTGAAGGTGCAACGCATAAGCATGAAACAACATGAAATCGCTATTAAAAATGCACAGATGAAGAGAATGATGGCTGGAACTAGAAAGAAAGAAAGCTTTTATGGAATTCAAACGTTCAAACCAACGAGTGTATCCAGAGACAGATGTTTTCCCCAACACAGTGAAACCATTCATGAGGACAAGGGAGAGAGGAAAGTCAACCGCATCACATTTTCTCCACAAGCAGAACTCCTTGTCTCGCTATTCAACATTTCCAGCATGGAAAGATTCTGTCTTGGGGAAGCAAGAGTCAAAAAAAAATAATAAAATAAGAAGCATGCTTCCTCTACCGCTATTCTCAGCATCCCATTACAGGCCTCAAAAGCAGATACAGTAATTGGTATTAGCAACAGGATCAGCTGGCTTCGCAGCAACCTAAAAATGACCCCGAGGCAGGAATGCTTACAGCATACCTCCGTACAGTAGTTCAGCCAAAAGAGGAACGGTGCAAGGGGCTTCTTCTGCAGGAGAGATTCCTGCAGCAGCTGCCAAGCAAGACCCTCGCCCAAAGAGTCTTCCGACTCTCAACGGTATCGAGTAGCGGAGAAACGCCCCTGATGGTTAGCTGCGCTCTGGCTGTATCGGGAACACACGCTCATCAGCCTGCCCGCTCTACCCAGAGATTAACGTTGTAGACAGAAGTGAGGTTGTGAAAAAAGGAGTAGGCAGATCTCACAGGTGCGATTGTATCTGTTGGATCAAAGCTTTTGAGGGCTTGCCAAATGCTGAGGTGTAAGATGCAAAATCCAATTAAACTCCAGTGCTTCGTTCCTTGCCTGAGAAGAACAGCAACTCTTCAAAAGCAGCAAATGGCAGAATTCTAATTTTCTATTCCAGTTTAAAAGAATCCATCAGTAGCTGCAATCTATTTCAGAATCAGAAATATATTATTAAGAGCTTGAAAAGGGGGGAAAAAGAAACCTTTAATGGCTGCACAATAAAGTAAATATTAAGCAGAGAGACTCATCTTTAACTTTACAAACGACAGAATTAATCTGATGCCAGCTCATAATCTTTACTGTACCCTGATTCCTTGAAGCTTTAAGTAAATATTATTAGAGGACCAAGAACTGTACTGAAGAGCCTTAAAAATATGAGCCGGGAAGATAGTATACAAACGTAAGCTCAGATACCTGCTTTTTGTCAATTACAAAATAGAGAAAATGTCATCCTCTCTTTTTCAGATATGTTTGCAACACAATATGACTTCAGTAATCTGGCCAAACCTCACCCACCTCGTTCTTTCCAAATCGATTCCTTCCTGCCATGTTCTGCCCTAAGTGGGACGTCCATAAATATAACGGATTAACTCTCATAATCCCTCATGTAGCATGACCAACAATAATACAGGTAGGATAAAACAGTTAGAATGGGAAGTGTGTCCTACACTAATTTCTCCACCTTGGCAACTTTAAGATATGGGGACTTCAACTCAAGTTAAACTTACTTCAACTTAAAACGGTGCTGTAGCTGAGAAATACCGTCCGACACTATCTTGTGACTCCATAGAGAACAAATCCTACAAAACAATTTTCACCATCAGCAATCTCAGGTTAAAAAAACCCACAAACCTGTACAGTAGAGTTGTGAAGGTATGTTTAAAAGTCATACAGGACAAATGTCAGATTAGAACAATTTCTACTGAGGTCTTGGAAGATAAGGACAGTTACAAAACGGTGCAGAGGTTCTATTACTCTACGACTTTCAACAGCACGGCTATTCACAATAGGTACAAATTCACTTGCATTATCCCTAGCAGTTTGCAGAGAAACGTTTTAATTTTTAGCGTGTGCCCAACTGCTTACATCAGAAGGTAGCAAATTATAGATTTGAGCCAAAATACAGCCAACTGAAAGCTGAAAGGTATTTGCTCTTCCCTTTGCACATGGCCTCGATCAGAAAGCTACACAAATACACAGATAACATTCAGTCAGATGACTTTTCAGTTAATTTAATGCCGTGTGCAATCTAGAGCAACAATTTCACACTCTCTTGAAGACCATCAGGATTGGCAAAGTCAGAAAAGGATACTGAATTGTATTAAATATCTGCCATGCACCACTGGTGAGAATTATAAAGAATTGTTTATTTACTCCTGTAATATGGCTTTTTGAGAATATCTAGAATCAGTTTAGTTTAGTGGTAAAAGTGCTGTGGCTTAAAAAGCAGGAGACCGAGTTTTTCAGGCCTTCCTTAGGCATGAAAACCGGCTGGGTGACTTTGGGCCAATCGTACTTTATCAGCCCAACTCGCACATAGTTGTCATTGTAGGAAGAATAGAAGGCAGGTATATTAGATATGTTTGCCATTGTGACTTGTATATTTTTTAAAAAAGGCAGGACAAAAACATAATAATATAAAGATCTGCAAACAGAAGAACTGTGGCAAAAGAAAGCAAAAATAGGTGCCTGGGGTGTAATCCCGAAACATCCAGGGCACCATTGGAAGACGGTCACTCAACTGCAAAAGGCAGCTTTGCTTAGAAATGGTTTACATTATGCGACAATATTGTTATTAAATAAGCACATCTGCTTGCTCCAAGTCCTTGGGAAGGACTCAGTAGGTGGACAAAAATGCCAAATCCAGTCTGGCATAAAGAACCATTTAATTCCATGGCTCAGTTCTTTCTCCTAGGCACCCATGCAAATTAAGCTGCAGCAATGAATATACGTGCCATAATAGTAGTGTTAGGAATTAAAATCTAAAAGCCCCTGTTCTGCTCCCCCCTCCCTTTAGCCAGATTAGGCTATTAAGGGAAATCTTTTACACCAATACTCCAGTTTGGCCCCTCCATAATAAACCCCCACACCTAGGGAGGAATCTAGTGCAATCTGAATCTTTTCCAGACTGCACATGACCTCAGGGCAACATCCTAATATTCACAACCAACACGTACCTCTGGATCAAAGCTGAGAACAGCAACACCTCAATCTGTACATCTAAATACCAAGGCCCGCTTGTCCTTCTACACACCTCGATTAGCAGACCCCCTAACAATGCCTTCCATCGCTGTTGGTGGCTGAATGAATAAACCACAGACAGTCCTCAATTTACGATCAAAATTGAGCCCAAAATGTAAGTGATAAATTTGTGAATTTTGTCCCATTTGTACGGACATTTCTTAAGCGAATCACTGCACTGGTTGTTGAATCAGTAACACGGTTGCTAAGTCAATCTGGTTTCCCCCTCAACTTTGCTACGAGGATGTTGCAAAATGGTCGTAACTCCCCCTTTTTGGTGATGTTGTAACTCTGAACGGCCACTAAGCGAACTGCAGTAAGTCAAGGATTACCTGCACTCTACTTCAAGCAGCTACCCATCTGTGTTTATTCATAACCTGGCTCAGAAAACCAAACCAAGGAAGTTCTCCTGAAGTTTTATTGCAACAATAAAAGCAGACCTGGGGAAGAACCTGTAGCCCCCAGAAATTGCTGGCTCCACAGATGATATGAGCATTTAAAGGTGTACCATATCTGGCACCTGAAGGCAGGACAAGAAGCCATGGGTGGAAACTCATCCAGGAGAGAATCAACCTAGAACTAAGGAGGAATTTCCTGGCAGTTAGAACCATTAACCAGTGGAATGACCTGCCACCAGGGGATTGGACTAGATAAGATGACCTGAAATATTGATGCCGCTTTATAAAAAGCTAGTAAGGCCACACCTGGAAGAATGCAACCGATTTGGGTCACCATGCTACAAAAAAAAAAGGATGTTGAGACTTTGGAAAAAGTTGAGAGGAGAGCAACCAAGAGGATCAAAGGCCTGGAGACTAAAACATAGGAAAAACGGCTGCAGGAGTTGGGTTTGGCTTGTCTAGAGAAAAGAAGAATTGGGAGATGACACGACAGAAGTATTCCAGTATTTGAAGGGCTGCCCCAAAGAACAGGGAGTCAAGCTATTTTTTCCAAAGCACCTGAAGGTCAGACAAGAAACCATAAGTGGAAACTAATCCAGGAGAGAGAAGCACCTTGGAATTAAGGAGAAACTTCCTAACAGGGAGGACAATTAATCCGTGGGACAACTTGCCTCCAGAAGTTGTGGGGGTTTCATCACTGAAGGCTTTGAAGAAGAGACTGGACAGTCGTCTCTTCTGAGATGTTATAGGTTCACTTCATAGAATCCTAGGCTGAAAGGGGCCTCGGAGGTCTTCTAGTCCAACCCTCAGCCCAAGGATGAACTAGAAGACCTCCAAGGTCCCTCCCAGTTCCCGTTCTACTCTATAGACGCCAGGGGCCTTCAAACTTGACAGCTTTAGGACTTCCACTCCCAGAATCCCTCCTCCTCCAGTCATGTGAGCTCGGGAATTCTGGGAGTTGAAGCCCACAAGTCTTAAACTTGCCAAGTTTGAAGACCCTTGTGATAGATGATATACATACATATAGACAGATAGATGGATGGATGGATGGATATGAGAGAGAGAGAGAGAGAGAGAGAGATGATAAATAGATAGGTGATCGATACCCTCTATCGATCAGGGTATTCAATCTTGATAACTTTAAGACTGGTGGACTTCAACTCCCAGAATTCCTCCTCCTCCAGTCATGTTAGCTCAGGGATTCTGGGAGTTGAAGTCCACAAGCCTTAAACTTGCCCAGTTTGAAGGCCCTTGATTTAACGCCCCCAGGATCCCCTTATAGATACGGATCCTGCGGCGATCCTATTCATTCGGGGCGCTGACCTTCGATCCCCTTCGCGCGGTCTCAAGATGCCCAAGAAAGACCCCCACCCCCCCCCCTCTCAACCCTCCCCCCCCCATTTCTGGCCGCTTTACGAGGCCTCCCGTTAGCCCCCCTCCCCCCCAATCACCCCGCCCCTCCCCCCCCCCGCCCCCCGCCAACAGACCCGAAGAAGCCGGCGGAGGCTGCAGCCACGACGCTCCCCCGCAGGCTCTGAGGGAGCTTCTCCACGTCCGCCCGCCCCCCCCTCTCCGCCTTCGCGCCCTTTTCCCAGCATTCCCTGCGGCGCCGCCAAATAGCCACCTCCCCCCCCCGCCCCCAGGGACCCTCCTCAGGCCCCGGGGACTACTATTCCCAGAAGCCTTTTGGGGAAGGGGCTGTGGACGCGAGACGGGAGAGTGGAGGAAGCCTCACCTGACGAAGCCTCTCCCCGCGAACCCTCCAGCCGGTGGCGCGGCCCGAGAAGGGGGGGTGAAGACGGGGCGGGGCGGCGGCTTCTCCTCCTCCTGGCTTTCCCCTCCTCGCTTGAGGAGAAAGAAGCCCTCAGAAAGCGGGGCTGCGCTGGCTAGGCCGCGCCCCGCGCCCCGAGCTCGGTGCCTATTGGCCAGCGCTTAGCCATCCCCGCCCTCCGATTGGAGGAAAGAGACGTCCGTCGTCGTCTTCTTTTTTTTTTTTCTTCTTCCCCTGCGACCTCTCACGGACGGCGTGCTGACTTTCCTTCGAATCGCTCGCCCACCGAGCCTGGGAGCTCCGCCTTGTGACCCACTCAAGGGCGCCTTGGAGACAGGAGGACCCCACCCCGGCCCCCCTTCCAGCGAGGCTGCCCTCGGATGGCGCCTGCGCGAAAAGTCAGGCGGCCCCAAGGACAGCCTTGTTCTGAGGCCTCCCGTTAGCAAAGGGACGATGGGAGATGCAGTCCAAGGGCAGATGGACCTTGGATTCTCCCTTAGAAAAAGAAAAAATAAATGCGGGGGGAATCCCTTTTCCGGGAGTTACCATTTGGGAAGCAGGCGTTGCTGGGCCCTGGTCTCCTCCAGAGTGGAGGGCAGCCAAGCAGCACAATTCCCAGCCTCTGGATCAGGGGGTCTTCAAACTGGACAGCTTTAAGATTTGTGGACTTCAACTCCCAGAATTCCTCCTCCAGTCATGTTACCTCAGGAATTCTGGGAATGGAAGTCCACAAGTCTTAAACTTGCCAGAGTTTGAAGAACCTTGCTCTGGATGCTATTGGGGAACTCCGGGAGCTCAATGCAGCATTTGTCCATCTTAGCCTTTTGAAGAGCTATGGACTTCAACTCCCAGAATGCCCCAGCCAGCACTTCCGAACTATACGGGCCATCCTCCACTTACAACAGCTTGCTTAGTGACTGGTCAAAGTTATAACGGCACCAAAAAAGTGGCTGTTTTTCACAGTGACAGCCATTATGGCATCTCCATGGTTAAAATTCAGATACTTGGCCACTGACTCACATTTATGACAGTTGCAGTGTCCTGGGATTGCTTTTTGCAACTTACTGACCAGCGAAGTCAAAGAAGAAACCAGATTCACTTTCAACAACTTTGTTACTATCCCAAAGATGCATTTTTTTCCAAGAGGCAACTGGACTTTCTGGTATTTTTTCTTGGAAGACATTTCGCTTCTCCTATAAGAAGCTTCTTCAGCTCTGGCTGAATGGTGGGGAATGGAAGGATTGATGCTCCTTGCAGACAGCTGATCATTTCCGTCCTTTTAGAGGGTCGTTGAGGCCACTTGGAGGTTTATCTGTGTCCCGAGTCAGGCTTTTAGCTATACAATTTGGGATGAAGACCCTTGGAATGGTGAGGGAGTAAGAATGGATATCCAGAGGGAAAAAACTGCAGACTACAGGAACCATGCGCTCTACTCAGGTGACCGTAAGGACCCAGGTAAACCTCCGAGTGGCCTCAACAACCCACTAAAAGGATCATAATAGTAATAGCCTTGGTGGTGTGTGTCCTGGTGTTCTTGCATCACTGCCAAACTTTGGAAGGGTCTTTCATTTTTATTTTTTTTAAACTAAAAGCATCTTCAGGCAGGGATGTAAAATTCTTTGGTTTGGGTGAGCATTTTGGAAGAAGGTTGAAGGACTTCATTTCACCAACTCAGCTCTAGCCCTTTTCGAACAGGGCAATTCTTTTTCTGCTATTCTAATCCTTTATTGTGCATTCAGCTTTGAAGAAAAAGAGACTCGAGGCAGACCGACAAGAATAAATGAACCACAATGTGAATATTATTTTTTTAAAAAATAGAAACATGTCAATGCAAAAAACTGTGGCCTTTGCAAGCGATCAAACAGACACTGGTCAAACTGGGTTTGCCCTTCCAGGTGGAGGAAAACCCACGAGGCGATCCTTCATTCCTTTACAAACCTGCACGCTTCAAATATTTGCCAAGAGGCCATTCACGCTGCCGTTTTATTCTGGGTAGAAAAAGGAATCCAGATTTTTAACCGATGGGAGTTAATCAACAGTGTTTCGTGAACAATGCGCTGGGTCTAAAAATGATTCTATGCAGATTATGTGGTTTTTATCAAGTCCCGCTATGGAAACAGAAGGCAGGTTGAGGCCACCAGTTTATTCTGAAGATGAATCAAGCTGCCCTTGGCACACGGAGCCTTTATTGCTTCCCAGCCTTGAGCCAGAAAAGGGGAAGAGAGCGGACGCAGCATTTCCCCATGACTCCCTTCAAGATCCAAATAGCCATGGCACTTATATCCCGCTTCACAGTGCTTTCCAGCCCTCTCTAAGTGGTTTTACAGAGTCAGCCTCTTGCCCCCAACAATCTGGGTCCTCATTTTACCCACCTCGGAAGGATGGAAGGCTGAGGGAGGGAGGAAAGAAGGAATGGAAAGAGGAAGGGAGGAAAAGGAAGGGAGGAAAGGAGGGAGGAGAGGAAGGAAGAGCAATAGCACTTAGACTTATATATTGCATCACAGTTCTTTTACAGCCTTCTCTAAGCAGTTTGCAGAGTCAGCCTCCTTCCCCTCAACAATCTGGGTCCTCATTTTACCCACCTCGGAAGGACGGAAGGCTGAGTCAGCCTTGTGTCCTGTCAGGATCGAACGCTAGATTGTGGGCAGAGTCAGCCTGCAACCCCGCACATTCTAACCCCGGCGGCACCGGGGCTCAAATACAAGGAGACCAGGTGGAAATAGTAAAAAGTGTGCACAATATTTACAGCCAAATCAGCCCGGGAGCAAAAGATCGCTACCGGCTGTTTTGTGAGCACGCGGAAAGCACAAAAGTCAGATTGGGGGACGGACACACACACACACACACGCACACTCCCCAACTGAACTACCTTTTAAAATTAAAATAAAAAGATCAGATTTCTTCTGCATCCCACAACTTTCTCCTTCTCGGCGCTGAAAAGGTGAAGCTTTTGGAGTCGAATTTAAAAAGCTATCCCAATATCTCCCCCCCTGCAATTAAGAGAACAGGGGAAGGGTCCCCTCCCCTCCACTTTCCAACCCTGTATTTATACGGAGGCCTGTTAACACGCTCAGGCTACACAGGATCTCATGTCCTCTGCAGGATCGGGCACAGATAAGAGAAGGGTTGAAGTCCACGGATGGACGGCTTACCGGTTCGCCCCGATTCGAGCGAACCGGTTGCTAATCTTATCGTTTTTAACTGCCGGTTTGGTGAGCCGGTAAATCCCACCCCTGGCTGGCCCCGCCCACCCCACCTTTCCCAGGAGCCTCCATGTGGCCCATTTTGGGTGCCAGGTAAGTACAAGGCCCGCGCAGAGGGTCAGGGAGGACATAAACCAGGATTCCCGGAAGTGCCAGAAGGCCGGAAACGGGCCGCTTTCCGGCCTCCGGAGCAGTGGTGGGATTCAAATTTGTTTTATTACCGGTTCTGTGGGCGTGGCTTGGTGGGCGTGGCAGGGGAAGGATATACTGCAAAATCCCCCTTCCCTCCACACCCCACTAGCCTGCTTTCCAGCTCCATTCTCCTGGGCAGGGCAACCAAAGAAGACCCAGCCGATCAGCTGGGACTCAATGGGAGGCAGAGAAGAGATTGGGGTTGGCGGGGCCGGTCAGAGTTGGGATTGGCCGGTTCTCCGAACTACTCAAACATTTCTGCCACCGGTTCTCTGGAACCAGTCAGAACCGGCTGAATATACCACCTCTGATCCGGAGCCCGTGGGTGGCAGTTTTCACCCTCCCGGAGGCTCAAGTTAAAAGCCTCCAGAGCCTGGGGAGGGCAAAGATGCCCCTCCCCCACTGCCATGGTGCAGGAGGCCGAGTAGGCCACGCCCATTACGGCCACGCCCACCCAGCAACCAGGCAGAGAACCGGCTGCGGAAGTTTTCGAAGCGCAGCCCTGGATTTCAAGTCCTCTCTAACTCTGATTCAGCCCCGCTAGCCTTACGATCACAACAAACCCCCTTTGACCTCCCAGGCAGCTTTCGCTGCGTTTCTCTTTTAAATCTCGCTGAACAGGAACAACCCTCCATCAAGTCAAGCCGGTTTTACTTTGTTTTTAACAGTTCTCCATCTTTTTTCAAAACACAGACGCGCATATTCCTTGACAAGGCTCACTCACTCCTTTTCGTGTCAGCATCCTCCCTCCCGCGGTCAGTAAAAGCACATTTTAGTGAATTTAAAAATCAAAATTAAAAATTGCTGGCTTATTTGAAGCGGGTTTACCTCCACGCAGAGAATTTTTTTTTTTTTTTAAAAAAGGAAAAAAGGTAACTATAATTCTCTTCGTACAGGAAGCGAACAGAAAGTGAAATGCTCTTTTGAGTTACTACCTGCAGCTAACAGGAGGACTCCCGTCTGTGAAACACGCCAGCGGATCGGGAAAAATCGGGGCCAGAAGCTCTAGGGAGAAGGTAAAATCGGTGGGGGAAGAAAAGACCTATCGAAAAGGTAACAGTGGAAATCAAGCCTGCAATCAGTTTTTTTTTTTTTTTGCATATAATTGGGTGGGGTGGGGGGGGGGGGGGGGGGGGGGGAAGAACGTGGTTGTGATATGTTGC